CTGAGGGCCTAAATTGCAGATTTGTACCAGAGGGCTGCCAATATTACACTGTTGATCGCCAATGCCCTTCCGATAAGGGAGGTGTGACGGTCTTTCCAGAGGGTCAGTTTCTCTAATGCCGGTTTCAGGATCCACTCGTCGTTTGATGCAGGCTTGCCTAGTGCCGTTAGCATGATTCCCAGCACCCGGACCGGGGCTGTTCCCGGGAGCCACTTGACCTGTGGAAACTCGGGGAGACGCGTCCCTTGATGGTGGATTCACCATCCCAGGGTTTTGTTTCCCCAGTTGACAGTCATATCTGAGACAACTGTAAACCGGTCGAATAATCGCCTGATCTCTTCCATATTTGTTGTGGTTGCATCGACCATGAGTGTCAGGTCGTCTGCAAACATTGAACAGATTGGGATTGCTTCTTCCGGTATGGCCGAGATTTGCAGTTTCCTCAGGTCTTTGTTGGCGCGGAGGTTCACTGCCAGTGCTTCCATTACGATAATGAACAAGAAGGGTGTCAAAGGGTCCCTTTGGCGAACCGATCGCTGCAGCGGAAAGACCGGCGCTATCCTTCCATTTACATGGGCGCCGAAAAACATGCCTTATATTTATTTTTTCCATACATTTGTCTAGGAAGAGCCAGTCCACGTGGTCATAGGCTTTTTCAAAGTCTATAAAGACTACTGCCGCATTTTGTTTTTCCTGTCTTGTTAGTTTAAGTAGTTCGTTAACTAATAGTATGTTATCTTGTATCCTGCGCCCTTTGATAAACCCAGTTTGCGTTGGATGTATGATGTCTTCTAAGACTGGGAGTAGTCGGTTCGCCAGGGCCTTCGCCAACATTTTGTAAACCATTGTGAGCAAGGTTATTGGCCTGTAATTTCGAATGTCCATCTTGTCTCCCTTTTTGTGTAACAAGGTGAGGACACCCTGTCCCACCATCTCTCCCATTCTCCCTATTTCCCACACCTGCTGATAAAACTCCATGAGGTCCGTGGCCATCTGAGTCCAGAAGGTTTCCCAGAATTCCTTTGGAAACCCACCTATGCCCGACATTTTCTCTTCTTCCATCTGCAACATCGCTGTCCATATTTCCTCTTTGGACAGGGGACGATCCATGTCTGATCTTTGTTGTCCAGTCAGGCTTTTCTCCAATGGTTCCAAGAAGTCCCCGATTTCTTTCTCTCTTGCCTTCCTCTCCTGCCGGGCACACCTTGAGGTGAACAGGTCCTGGTAGAAAGATCTTGCTATTTGTGTATAATGGGGGGTGGAGGTGATGATATCCTGGTGACCAGTTCGAGGATCATATAATGCTTCGCTGGTTGTTCTGCGCGAACGCACTCGAGCCATGCTGAAGAATTTTTTATCCATTGTTCCTTCTGTGTGGTATCTTGTTAGTCGTCCTCTTATCCGTGTTCCCTCCTAACGCTGTGTGGCAAAAATCTGGAGTCGTTGTCTCAGTGTTTGTATCATTGGATATTTTTCTGACTGTGAATGTTGGGTGTCGTTAGACTGGTCTTGGTGCTCGAGTTGCTGCAATTGTTGCTGAATTTTCATTTCCTGCTGATGTTTTCTAGCTGCTAACAGTTTAGAGTATTCACGACATTTTTTACCCAGATAGAATAATCCGTTATTAAACGTGTCTATTGACTGGTGGAAGTGCTGCTTTTGCAAGTGCCAGTACGTCCAACAGTTCGTAATGTAGTTCTGAAGGGTTTTCTGTTGTAGGATGTAGGTGTTAAGTTTATAGAAACCGGGTCCCCAATCGGGCTTCTTTCGAAAAGGAAGAGTGACCGTGCACATTTTGTGATCGAGGTCCGGATATGGGCTTGAGATGATGTTCCTAAGGGACGCTGGACCCGATTTCCAGCAGGTGACACTCCCCACCAATAGATGGAGCAGCCTGACAGGCAAAGCCTCAATTCCGGCGGTTYTTTTTTTTTTTTTTTTTTTTTTTTTTTTTGGAAAACAACCCGAGTAAATGCTAGGAGTGCTGATAAGAGCAGACACCGCTAGCATACTCGAGGAGGCTCCATCTATTGGTGGGGAGCAACACCTGCTGGAAACCGGGTCCAGCGTCCCTTGACATTTAGAATTGAGTGGTCTGTAAACAAACAGGGCTCAAGTTGACATGCCACGTGTTCATCGTACTAAAAACATGAGTGGTCACCTAAAGTGACACGTAGGCACACTCCATTGACTGATGAGCAGCATTGATTGCTCTCAATCGAGGGGATTAACTGCCCATCATAGTCCAAATCAAATCCCTACTCTGAAACCCTCGTCAACTGCCAGCAAACCCTTGCAGTGCCATGAGGAGGAGAGGCATTCAGAATAGGATGTTAGAAAGTTAGAAAGTCAATTATAGCGGATCCCAAAATCATTACAAAGTCATTACCTACCCTGGATAGCTCTTGAGATACTAAATCAGAGAAGGCAGTCAAGTCAGATGATATGCCAATTATAGCGCCCCCCCCTAGATAGCACGGATGGATAAATGAGGCTGTTGTCCTACCCTGCGACCCTCCCACCCGGATCCCACTGAAGGAGCGCAATGCTACCTCGCCGGCACGAACAACTCGTGAACATGCAGAGAGTGATCCCTTCCCCAAAAGTCCAACCTCCACTGAATATGACAAAAATCGTGGAAGGAGCCCGCTGCACCCAACGACCACTCCCATCCAAATCGCTGTTGTAAATGTTGACATCACAGCCGACAAAATGGTCGTTATTATCGGTGGCGACGACCTGAATGACTTGGATGAGCAAGTCGTCGCCATCATCACGAAGATCATAGTCGTCGCCGTTATTATTGTTGTTGTTGTTGTTGTTGATGTTGTTATTTTTGTTGTTGTTGCTGACGTTTTTGCTGACGTTTTTGCTGACGTTTTTGCTGACGTTGTTGCTGACGTTGTTGCTGACGTTGTTGCTGACGTTGTTGCTGACGTTGTTGCTGACGTTGTTGTTGCCGTTGCTGTCGTTGTTGTTATCACCACAATCGTTGTTGTTATTGTTGTTGTGTTGCTTTTGTCATTGTTGTGGTTGTTGTTGAGATCGACGGCGAAATAGGTGAGATTGTCATCGTCTTTGCCGTCGATGTTGGGGTTGATGCTGTTGGCGTCTTCCGTGGTGTCGTCATCGTCATCATAGTAGCGGTCCTCCAGCAACAACCATTTCGTCAAAATGGACATTTTTTATTTTTTGAACGAAATTGCAACTGATTTTTTTGGCCGAAAACTCGTAAAAGTTTGCTGTTCCTGAGGGTCTGTACATGGACCTAGCTTGAGACCAGGCACCTCCAGGCAGGACTGCCTGGAGGTACCTGGTCTCAAGCTAGGTCCATGTACAACCAGGGGGTCCGGCGTTTTACAAACGCCGGACCCACAGGAACAACAAATTTTGACGAGTTGCCAAAAAGACTCGGCTTCAATTTCGTTCAAAAAATAAAAGATGTCCATTTTGACGAAATGGCAGTTCAGCGTAGCGCAAAGACATTGCCCCTCCTCAAGCTCGTCGTAGTAGTGCCGCATGAAGTCGTCCAGTCGTGGAGAGCCTGTAATAGCATCCAGGTGGGGGGGCGGCTCCTCCTCCAAACCCCATGTAACCTCCAGCAAACACTGCCGCATACTGTGGATCCACAAGATTGACGGTACTTTCCTTTCAGCAGCAGCCGATCTCAGCTTCGCCACCACCTGGCTTCCGATCTCAGCTTTGCCACCACCTGGCTTACACACTCGCTGCCCGCTTGAACAGTAGCAAGCCACGTATGAACTCCCAGTTCCCGCGAACGCGCCATCACCAACCACCACTCAGTTCTCACCCCTACGTGTATTTCACCCCACATCACTCACCCCTACGCACACCTAGTAACTCCCCTCCTTACTGACCTCGCCCTCCCAAGAGGTCCAACGATAACATGCCACGTGGCGCGAATCGGTCAGTTCAGAGGCCACGTCAGATGACGAAGGCACCGTCCTGGCGTGTCGCGTGAAGAGCAGGCCGGGCCGTGCCGGCCGGTCCCCAGCGGGGGACCAAGGTGCGAGCGGTCTGTAACGCAGCGCCCTGAAGTTCCCTCTCCCCTAAATTCCGGCGGTTCTCTACAACCGGGATAGAGGCCTTGCACAAGGACTTAAAAAAAAAAAGACAACAAAACAAAAAAAAAGGGAAAAAAAAAAGAAAAAAAAGAAAAAGAAGAAGAAGAAGAGGATACAGGGGGAATAGAGTAAAGAGAGAAAAGAAGTAGACATGAGGTAGCGCAAACGAGCCCTTTCTTCCTCGCTATTGTCCCGACCGGTTTCAGCTTCACCGCCAGAGTGAAGCCATCATCAAGGGACTGGAAAAATGCGCTTGCTCTTGCTGATCTCCGCAGTAGAATAAGTACTCTTTGAAAACTACTTTCGACGCTCAGAAAACCCGTTCTGCCTTGTTTGCTTGTCATACTTCTGTCTACTGAAAGAGCGGGAAGTGAGATGGCGGGAATTTTTTGGAGGTGCAGAGGCAAAAAAGCCAGATTTGAAAACGTGTAACTAGGAAACGGTGTAGGGAGGGAGAAATGGGAAAGAGAGAGCGGGAGGGTGGGACATGCGGTAGCAGAGTGAAGGATAAAACTGTACGGCAATACAGCTTCGAGCATGAGAATGGAAGTGACAGATACTCCCATACATACATTCCATTACGCACGCCCATAAAAAGAGTCAACGAAACACGGAACAAGTATCCAGGTAGCACTCAGAAGAGAAAAACACATCTTCCCAAGCGGAAGAAACATTAACTCTTCCCAAATTCCCACGCGGCCACTCCTCTACGCATTTCAACTACCCCGCACGTAGTATCATCAGGAGGATCCGAATACTACCAAACACCCGAACGATTCAATGTAGGAGGCCATTCCATAATGCCTTGCCTCCTTATATACTATCTACCCTACTCCCACCCTACCCTCATCCCTCGCGTAGGTACATAGTAACCTATGCATCGCAAGTGCCGTACATGATGCATGCACACCGGAACGATCCATGGCTGCCGAGAACAAATCAACCAGAAGAGGAACCCAGCAAAAGGACGACCGTCGATGATGCACGTCATCCATCGATCCGAAAAACCTGCAAGACCAAAAACCACAAAACCACAACCACCAAGCTGCCAGCAAAGAGACACACGCAAAACATACGCCGTCTGGAAATCCGCACAGCTGTCAAACGTGCACAGCTCCAAGTTGGAACGTCCTCCTGTCGCGGATAGCCGAAGCTCGGGCAGGCAGATGATAGAGCAGCAGCGTCACCACCGCCAGTTGCTCAAACCCAGCGGAGCACTGCGATTTGAACGATGCGCTTCTGAGGAGAAAACTTACAGTACCTCTCAACCGCTCTGGTCATCGAAGCCTATTCCCGCACAAACTGAAAGTTAGAGGGCCAGTAAGGCGATACACCAGCTAATCTAAAGCTGTTTGAAGACTGTGAAAGGCGCACGGGCCCTGGACGGATCAGTCGCTCCCACCCTGTGACCCTCGCTACCGTCCGATCTGAAAATCGAAGGATGTTATGATGCAGAAAACGTGCTAGGTCCTGGTCCCTGAGCATCAAGCACCTGAAAACCGTCGGCGACCACCGCCCAACAGTACCTGGTTACAAAATCCCGGGAATACAACCCGCCCCCCACGGGGCTGTCCCAAGGAACAAGGGCCTGACACCCCCCAAAAAATATGTATAGAACGGACCAACCATCCGGTTGCCAAGACGAGGAAAAAAAGGTTGAGTTTGGCAATGGAACCAAACGGCCCGATGAACCTTACAACCCAATCATCCTGGAAATGACGAGACATCAGGGGACCCATCCGGTGGCAGAGGTATACGCCACAACTTCAAAGATTACGTGCCTTCAGTGGGCAGCATCCTAGTGTCCGCTGAAAGTCGCCGTGTAGCCAAGAAAATGTCGGGGTTACTATGGTAGAAGACAAAGGTTCATCAGCAGAGCATCAACGATGCAATCTTCTTGAGACCAGGTGAAGTATCGAGAAAAGTGAGAAAGAAGGACAGTCGAGGGTGGAGAGCAAGTGACATAGCGGAAAAGACAGATACAGCGAAGGGTGGAAAGCAAAACAGACAGATAGAAATAGTTGGAAGAAGGGCCGACCATTCAGACAGGATGGAGAAAACGATTCAGTGTATCTTCCGGGAGAAGATCATTGCTAGATCCACTGAATCAATCCCTGTTCCTAGATCACCAGGATAGAGGTCTTGCACAAGGCCCTTCAAAAAAAGAAAAAAAGAAAAAAAAATCCCTGTTCCTCTAGGCTGGGCCGGTGCCCGGCCAGGCGTGCCCGGCCGGGCGGACCCCGGCCGGTTGCCTCCGGGGGGGTCCGCCCGGGTGAACCGGGCGACGCAAAAACAGGGCAAGGAATTTTTTTTATTTTTTTTTGAAGTTGGGGCTGTGCTGCGCTGCACTAGAGGAGCCCGAATCCGCAATAAAAAAGTTAACTTGGGGGTTGGGTGGTGGGTGGGGTTGGGGGGAAGAAAAAAGGGGGGATGGGGGGGGGTGGGGTGGGG